TTTGCACTGTGAATGGTTTTGTTCTAGTAAAAGCAAAATCTACTGCAATATCGTACCCTGGAAAGAATGATATCACAACTCAATGAACTGATTTTACTATAGTTTGGTTGAAGGTGTTCGACAATGTTTCATGGTGCATGTCATTAGTTCGGACTTCCATTGTCTAATATGATATAAAATGATTTGAAATTCCTGAAAGAATCAATAAAATTGAAATGAATAGCTGAAAATAACAATTATATTAAGCACAAAAAACTTTGAATTGAAATTACAAAAAAAATACAAGCAACAATTGAAAATTGAACAATAAAAAAGAAATAAAAATTGAAAGATTTCAAGCCAAGTTACTTTACGACGTTTCGATTATTAGTATCCACAATCATCTTCGGGTGATGACCTATGACAGAAAAATATTTACAAGTGGTACACAGTTTTCACGGAAGGTCGAGAAGATGATAATGACGACTCTCGTCCTGGACGCACCAGCACATCAACAACTGATGAAAATGTTGAGGAAGTGAAGAAAATTGTTATGGAAAATCATTGAATCACAATCAGAGAAGTTGCTGAGGATGTCGGCATATCGGTTGGCTCATGCCATGCAGTTTTTTCGGAAATTTTGGGCATGAAGCGTGTGTCAGCGAAGTTCGTTCCAACATTGCTAAATTTTGACCAAAAAAACCGTCGACTGAGCATCGCCCAGGAACTATTGAATAACCCATGAGAGCCAAGACCAAAAAAAGCACAATCAAATGTCAAGACCTCGTATTTCATTCATGCTATGCATGTTATTCAGTTTAGAATAACTAGCATAACAGTCATGTATTATAGAGTTGATGACTTGAAAAAAACGCATTACCACATTTTTCCATGATTTTATTAAGAAATTTAGAAGTCATTCTATGACTGATCCAACATTTTACAGTTCAGAAGTGTATAATACATTTGATACCATGTATTACCTCATTATCCAGCATTCTTGAAGCTGTTGCTACCCAATTGGGCGAGTAATCATAACTATAATGGACTGAAAAAGTCAGTTTGGAAATGACTGAAGAGTATTACCGAAAAAAGGAGAAAATTGCGCCAATTGAATTGTCGCTATTACCTAATAGCATTCATTAATGCTCAGGAAATACATATCACGTAGATATCTTAATAATCTATCAAACATCCTGAATATATTCAGCCTTTCAGGAAGATTCAATAAAAATGTTTGTACATTATAAAATAGTTTTCGAAAGCAAGAATAGTTTTTTGAAAGATCCCTTCAATTTCTGTTTGAAAAATTATCGTTTATTACGTATAAGAACAGATTTTTACATTAGAAAGTTTTTTCTAACGTATCAGACAAGTTAAAATTTGTTAGTCAAAATTGCTGAATTTTGACCGTTGCATGAGCATCGCTCCGGAACTGTTGAATGACGTCAACGGCGATCCAGATTTGCTTAAAAGAGTCATAACTGCTAACGAATCATGGATATATGGTTATGACATCTAAATCGAAGTCCAATCGTCCCAATGAAAAAGCCAAGACCAAAAATAACACGCCAAGTTCAGTCAAATATCAAGGTTTTGCTCAGCGTTTTCTTCGATTACCGTGGCTTAGTGCATCAGAAGTTCTTGCAACATGGTCGTACGGTCAATAAGAAGTATTATCTTGAAGTAATATGCCGCTTGCGAGAAACAATACGAAGAAAACGTCTGGTATTGTGGAAAAACAATTCATGGCTTTTGCATCTCGATAATGCACCATCTGACTCGTCATTGCTTGTATGTAATTTTTTGGTCAAAAACAACACCGTAATCATGCCTCAACCATCGTATTCACCAGATTAGGCACCATGCGACTTTTTTCTGTTCCCAAGATTGAGGAGATGGCTTTTTGAGTTGATGAAAACTGAATCTCTAAGAGAGCTCAAGGACATACCAAAAAGTGCTTATCAGAACTGCTTGGAGGATTGGAGAAAACGCTGACACAAAAAAAAAAATTCTTGTTTTTCGGGATTAATGAATACTATTGTTATTACTCCTACTTCAATTTTTGAATATGACTTTACATCAATAAATACGACTGTCAATATTAATTAATAAATTAAAATACCAACTCAATACATCCTAACTTAAATCAATCACAAATAACTGGTCCAAGATAAATCCACGTTTAACGTCAAAATTTTGAGATTCGAGTCAAAATTTACTCTAATTTACTGTAGAAATTTTCGGATATAAAAGTTGAAATTTCTATTTTTTCAGAATTGAAGATTTAGTCTTGATTAAGACATAACAATTAGAACACCAAGTTCAAATAGACTCAAATAGAGAGAAAAGTTGCCATTTCTTATTTAGGTCTTTATGTTATCATAATTCCATATCAATTACTACTGTAGATGTAGATTAAATATTGTAAAAATGATAATATAAGTAGTTGCAAAAAAAGTTAACCGTGTGTTCAGTCAGTTGAGAAGTTTATTGAAATCTCGGTTTTCCAAATTGGTAGGCACCCTTAAATAATATAAAATAACCCCTTCTCAAAATATCTATAAATATATAATTACATCCTTACTTAATAATGAACATTAGGACAAATACAAAATAGTTTTTCAAGAAAATTTGACACCTGTTTTTATAAGATACGGTATAAGTCCCGAATTATCGAAGGAAATCAAGATCAATTCCACGTGGAACCAGCTCACGTTATTGAATTAAATTTCGAATACAATGAACCGTTAGTTACTATCAGTTGAATTTTTACTTTAAACTATTTCACAAGGCACTTCATATAAATTACAGAACCTAGTTACTAATTATTAATTCTAGGTAAACAAATAGATTTCAACAATAAGAAGTTACCGTACAATAATTGCTCAAAAACGATTATTTCTAATGAATTTCTATGAAAAAAAAAATCAATAAGGGTGAGTGATAACTTCTTATTTGTCCTATTGGCAATATAAATGAATTCTTGCCCGTATATGTCACAGATCATGTTAAAATCTCGTGTTTGTTCTCTAAAAGGCATGCATAGGTGGAAATGGTTTTCTTCAGTTCAAAACTTCTCTTGTGTTCCGAAATTCTTGTTTCAAAATTTCAAGACTTTCTTCCTACGTACACTTTCGCGCATGAACCAAACATTAGCTTGTGGACATCTGATTTGTTATTCTTATCAATGATTGTTATCTATTGATCTATCCACGTTGTTACTATTGTATGCTATGTTACTACTCTGTTGAATTTGTATTTTTTTTTTCTGATGACTTTCATCATCACGAGTGATGAATGATGCAAAACTGGTAGCACCTTGGAAAGACATATAAAGAACAACAAATTCATCATCAGTGAGAATAACGTCAGCATATGGAACTTGACCAAAGGTTTATATCGGAAGAACGTCTAGAATTTTCAATACGGGAGTTTCAGAACACAAAAGAAGTTTTGAACTGAAGCACAATCGATTTTGAATGAACTATCACTTGTTACATCAGGAGTTTAAGGTATAAGTTTGAAAATGTCCTTATAGGACAAAATTGCAGTAACGTTAGTTACAAATAAAAGTGGTAAAAAACATAGAAAGTTTCAATTCTCATTTTTAATGATGATTTCTTATCACGTACTAATGGCTACATCCATTAATTTATTGTATTGTAACTTCTCATTATCAAAACACGATGGAGGTACTATTTATATTTCGGGCACTGGACACAAATGTCAATAGGTAAAATATGGCAACACCATAATACTCACAAAGCTTTGATGTACAAGTGCTATTTGTTTTGTTCACAGTGAGTCAAGAAAACCAATTCGACCAACAAACTGAAATTTCAACATATTGAATCCACAGCAGTATGGATTTCAAAACAACAAAAATACAAGTGATGCAATTTTTAACTTTCTGCATAAGATTTACAGTGATATGAATTCTGGTGCCTATTCAGCAGCTGTATTCTGTGACTTTTCTAAGGCATTTGACCTCGTTGATCACGGAATCTTACTGCGGAAGCTGAAACATTATGGTTTTGAGCACAGAAGCATTAGATTGTTTGAATCGTACTTATTGCATCGAAAGCAAATTGTAAGACTCTCAACCGACTCAAATGTAGGAGTAATCAAAGCAGGTGTCCCTCAAGGTTCCATTCTAGGACCCATCTTGTTTCTATTGTATATATATAATGATATAACACGACTGGATCCAACTGCTAGCATCACATTATTTGCAGACAACACAACATTGCTGTGGCAGGGAAAAGATCCTACAAAACTGGCTCAAGATGCCACTGTAGACATGGAAAAAATTGAGAGCTGGTGCGACTCAAATAAGCTTTCTCTAAACTTTGATAAAACCCGTTTCCTCACCTTCCATTTCCTGAATATTTTCAGGAAAAAATTAAGCGACATTCTGATTGATAATGCCTATTATAGTGTAGATGAATTTTACAATGACAACGCTTTTTATGAATTATAATTTACTACTGTATGTCACTATGATATAGCATATTTTTTTATGAACTTTTTTGAATTTTGAATTATATAGCATTTATTTTGTTTCGTAAATATGTGTTTGGCACCCTATTTCATTTGAATGGGCTTTTAGTAATTACTTTTATACTACTTTGACATAGTTCATAATCGTTTGTCAACAAGAACTCTTTCTTAGGACAATAAACGTATTTCTCTCTCTCTCAAGATAATGTATTCTTTGGATTATTTTTCACAACTTTCGACGCGGATTATCTTAACAAGAATGTGTCGATGAACTCAATTCTTTGTATGGCGATAAAACACCATCAAAAACCACACTATATCGCTGGTATAGTGAATACAATCGTGGTCGTAGTTCGATCGCCGGCGAATTCCGTTAAGGTCGTCCAAAATTGGTTGTTGTGTCACGAAACATCGATGAAGTGCGTTAACTGATAATGCAAGATCGTCATATGACATATTGTGAGATAGAGGTATTCTTGCACATTAGTTCCACTTCAATACATTCGATTCTACATGAACACTTAGCAAATGGTTGCCTGTTTTTTCGGCCGAATGGGTCATGTTGCCAGTGTTCCATTATAGCAACGTAAAACGGTCAATTCTGAGGCACTTTGGGCAAGTTCCCCGGGTCCCGCGATCGATGGGGGACACCCTAGTTCCTGACAGATCACCGAACAATAACCAATAATTATTAGACACCAAAAAACTTATATAATTCGAAAAAATCGAACCTAAATTACTGACTACAATACCAACTTACTAGCTTTTACATGCGCGAAACTATTCTACTCTCGCCCAAAAATTAAGCCTTCCGACTTCAGCATACTTAGATAAATTCAAATATATAATGGTATACTAAGCACATACACATTTTAAAGAAAAATCATCAGTGGTACACTCATCAGTGTGACTCGCTTCATTTAAATTGAGCGAACGAAGCGAAGTATAAAGCTCCAAGTTAGAATTAGTAGGTGTACATGCTGCTGGGTGTGTATCGGAGGCAACAACGTTTTTTGAAGTTGTTCAGAAAGTGTACAACTTTTGAAAGAAAACAAAATTGAAGACACATTTCCAAATGTAGAAATCGCATCGAGAATCTTTTTGAGCATGATGGTAACCAACTGCAGTGGGGAACGCTCCTTCTCCAAATTAAAAAGAATTAAAAATGAATTAAGAAGTACAATGCTTCAAGAGAGATTAACCAGTTTGTCGCTGATGTCGATATAATCTGATGTGCTAAAAAGCATAGATTTTGAACAAGTGATCAACGATTTTGCCCATCTGAAATCTAGAAGGGTTCCTCTTCATATAACATAGATTTTTAAGCACTAACCTGTAACTGCTAAAAAAATTACTTTTGTGGACTATATTATATTTATCTATCTGTTTAACTATCTATCTATTTAACCTTGTTTATCTACTTTCTTTGTCTATTCTAAAAAAATAGTGTTCTGTCACAGTCATAGGGGCCCCAATACACAGGGCTTCCAAATGGTGGTACACCATTTATTTGCCGGAAATCGTAAAACTAACCGCCGAAGACGAATCATTCTCCATCATGACAATGCGAGCTCAAAAACATCTCGTCTAACATGGAATTGATGACTCATCGTCCGTACAGTCTTGATTTGGCACCCAATGACTTCTTCTTGTTTCCGAATATCGAAGGTAAATTTCGTTGTCAACGATTAACGAGCGCCGAAGAAGCAGCTGAAGCGTTCAGAAACCATGTTTTGGAGGTGACTCAAAAAAAAAACGGAAGAACTGCTTTGAAAAATGGTTTGAAAGGATGCAAAAGTGTATTAATCATTAAGGGGAGTATTTCGAAAAACATTAAAGACATTTTCATAAAAAAATGTTTGTTACTATTTGCTATTCCCGAAATATAAATAGTACCCCCTGTATAGAGACGATTTACCATCATATAAAGGATAGAGGAACTCGGAAAGATCTAAGGTTTATCGTTAGTATGTTTTCGAGTGTAAGGATGCAACTGCAAATTTGTAGTTTCTGTTGAGATATATGGTGTTTATAGGGAATCAATCAATTAGAAAAATATTTTCTAATGATTTCACAGACAATATAAATTGTAATAGTTATTGAGAAATTGAAATGAAAAAAAAAACCATTCCAATTTATGTTAATAATTCNTTTTCCAAATAAAACTGAGATTATAAATATATCTGTTATTTTGTTTCTTGTTTTCGAATTTTTGTAATGTAAAATGAAAATAAATATTTAAAAGAAAACGAGAGCAAATCTTACAAAACCATTGATAATTTCATGAATTGTGAGTATAAATACACCCAAAATCAATCTTATATCTAGGGCAACAAAACCACTGTAGACCAGTGTAATTAATGATTACTAATTGAGTTCTGTAATTTGTATAAAATTAATTTTAAAATAGTTTCAAGTACCAGTTCAACTGAAGAAGCTACGGTATAGTAAAATGCTTCTTGAATAAAGTGCGTAGTATGAAAATTGTTCAACTTATCGTGGATATTGAAAACCAAAACTGAAAACTCTGGCTTAGAATAAATCCAAAACAATCACTGTTCTTCATCTCCTGATGACGCCAACTTAGTTGTGAAACGCGCGTCGAGAAGAGTATCGCATATCTGGAGAGTAAGAAACGTGCTTGTTCTGAACCAGTACAAAAATTCAAGTGAGCTGGTAAAACTGTAGTTTGTCACTTCAAACAGGTTACGTATATGGAGATTCTACTATCTAATATGAATTATCGTCACTATTTCAAATCGATCGGGCTTTCTAACCTAAAATTTTTTATTTGTCCATGTTCAACAAGAGGTGTCGGCATATCATCATTATCGATCTTGATTCGTATCTTATTCGCGTCTAGAAACGAACACGGCACTTTTTGCAAATCGCCATTATGGGGACTGGCAATAGGAGTATCAAGTGGCGAGTAGGGAACGTATATCCTCAGTACGTCTGGACTAGGGTTGTGCGGGGTCGCTCGCGGTGTCGACTGACTACTCACCCCTCTTTGGAGGCTACTTGTCGCCCCTATGCCGGAGCCAACCGAACTAGCGCCACCTACGGAGTTGTCAGACATATTGCTGTGAGTGTCTAGGCTGTTTTCGTGTGCCTGAGATCTCGTTATCGTGGAAAAAACCGAGAGGTCTGCTGTGGACGTTACGCTTGTATCAGCCAAGGAGCGCCTCGAACCTGTATGGTCACATTCTAGTAAGGAACTTGCGTCATCTATGCTGGGATCGAAGGAAAACTTAGAACCTGAAATACAAGATGATTGCATATAATATTTAAGGAGGGAAGATTGAAGAGTGTGCAAAAAAGATGGTTTTATTTTTGTTTGCATGAGATACAGCTTTTGAAATTTTGTTTTGTGGGTTCACCGTGAAACAATTTCTATAAAGTAAGAAAGAACATTTCATATTTTACGACCATTTTTTGATTAGAAAAACCAAAACCAAATTTTACCCGCCCCAGAAGATAGCTATTGGTCACACAACCTGATGTCAATGGTTCATTGGCGAAATATGACTCAAGTGGGCGGAGACTTTTAACACAGAACGATTTTACGTTTCTGCGCTGACTCGTTTTAGTAGGCGTCGACTTTATACGAAATGGCATATTTCTACTAAGTACATGAAATTTGTTTGGAAGATTTTAGTGTGCTGCAGTTGAACTGCAGGAACATATACAGAAACAGAAAAGAACGAATCATATCGTCTGTTCATCGAGTCTTGATAATAATAAGAATAGGTGCGACGCGTAACTTTCATGAGACCGAAAGGATTTTCAATGAACATTTTCCGAATCGTCCATTCATCCGTCCATTCAAGAAGAACAACAAGTCAGATGGTAGTAAATTCTAAACAATTTAATGATATGGATACAGAAATGAAATACTTTGTCTAATTTCCACTTACTAAATGTATTGATATTAATACGACCAAGGTTTCGTTTTTACACCATTCTCAAGTATTCTAACTAAGTAGTGTTAGAATATTACTAACTAAGTAGTGTTAGAATACTTGAGAATGGTGTAAAAACCAAAACCTGGGTCGTATTAATATCAATACATTAAGTAAGCGGAAATTAGATAAAGTATTCTAACTATGTAGTATTAGAATACTTGAGAATGGTGTAGAAACCGAAACCTTGGTCGTATTAATATCAATACATTAAGTAAGTGGAAATTAGATAAAGTATTATAACTGAGTAGTGTTAGAATACTTGAGAATGGTGTAAAAACCGAAACCTGGGTCGTATTAATATCAATACATTAAGTAAGTGGAAATTNAATGTCAGAGTATTCTTCAATTTGGAAGAGAATCAAACTTAGTAAAAATCTCACATTTACAAAAAGAAATCTGTATAAAATTAGTTATTAATGGTCTCAAGCACATCAAATTAAAAACTCAAATATACAATCTACTGAAGCTTAACAAATGTCTTTTGACAATATCAGTTTTTCAATTTTGAAATGATCACAATCATTATACGATTATTCAATAATGATTTGAAAAATGCATCCAAAATTTCGAGTTAGTATTATATGAAATATGTATTCCTCCTTACCATTTAGCTTAGAATTCACTATACACATCACCTTTTGAGGTTATATTGCCACAGAAAGCTACGTGAAGTTAGTCTTGAAATAGTGACATTAAAAAAGCTGCACAGTTCGTCATCCACTATGACTTTTTCATTGAAATAGTCCAATTTTCCTTTGTGAACGTTCTTCCCAAGAAAGACGATTTTCGGAGAGATTTGGGATCGGGAAGGATATAGGAGCTTTCTACATCTAAACAAATGTAAAATACTTATCATGCATAATCCATGCGAACCTACCAAAAGATTGTGTAGGTTGTTTCCGTTGATGTTTCTCAAACTCAAATGCTGATTGAGGGCAATACTAAAATAACAGATCAGTTTAACCACACTGAACTAATGAAGGGTTTATTTGCTTGTCGAATAGACAGTGAGCGGTTAAATTATGGAACAACTTCGTTATTCCACAAATAATATACTTTTGGCAAAAATCCGGAAATAGGTTAAATTTTATTTTCAAATGCTTTAATTTGAATGTTTATGAATTCGCTGTTGCTCAAATAATATACTTTTCATAAAAATCCAGAAAACGATCAATTTTCATTTTTGGAAACCGATATTTGAATGTACACGAACTGTTACTTTGTTGGTGAGATGCATAGAAGTTAGAAGTGTTTTTGTTCAGAGATTTTCTGCTATCGAAAAAAATGGATCAAAGTTTATTATTAGTGAAATAACAAATTCGTTCCAGAATTTGAACGCTCTCTATACAGGGTATATCTTGACGAGCTAACGCAATTTACAGTGTGACCCATTTTTAATGGAAACACCCCCCAAAAATTTGAAGTTGTAAACCGATTGTAATAATTTTTTTTTTGAAATGTCAAGTACTAAAAGGTCTACCTTGGGACAAAATTTGAAATGTTTATTAAAGTTTCAGGGCATACTACGATATTTTTTCTTAGTCGAAAATCGGGATTTTTTATTAGCGATTTTTTTATTGAAAAAATCACTACGCCACTGGATTCAGAGTGCCTCTAAACAGGTGTGACCAAAATTTCATGAAAAAA